TAACGCAAAGACAGCCAAAAATATTCCAGATAATAAGTATGGTAAACTGGTCAAGATAATCTGCTCCATTTGAGAATATCTTCCTGCATTGAAGCTTAAACATTATCAAGGCGAATCTGTTGAACTTATGAGGAGTTCAGAAAAAAATGAGCATCAAGTCGACAGTGGAGTATTTCAATCTCAGGACTGTTCGGATTCAAATCAGCTAACGTTAACAGATGATAGTGTCTCAAACTCAAAAATACACAGAACGCCAAACATAACACGTGCAGTTGTAGACTCATAACTCAATAGTGAATGATTGATAACCGATCTAAATTGCTTCACTTCGTCAACATTTTCCCCATAAATCGTGAAGACAGATGTAAAGAAATTCAGTTTTTGCGTTTAAAATTTAAGAAACCTCCAATGAGATTCCTGAAATCTCTGAATTCAATCCGCTAATTTTAATTACGCTCGTCTAATATTAAATTATAAATCGAGTAAATTATTCTAGAAATTTCCAAATTTGATTTAGCTAAGAGAGCGACTTGATTATTATAGGTCTATATTATACCTATCATGCAGTATGCGAAAGTAATCACATCGATTGATTACGTCTGCAACAGCTAAAATTAATATATGTTTACGACCTAAATTCCAGCATATGAATTAATGAACGACATAACAATTAATTATATTAATAAAGCTGTGGAGCTTTAATGAAGCTCCATGAATAAAAATTTATTGAATTTATTATGGAGCTTTTACAAAATTCTCTCACATCACAGCCTCAACCTCATCAGTTAGCAACTACAACAAATTATTTCATTAGTAGATTTAGTGAAGCGAATTAGTTGAACCCTGAGACTGGCACAGAGCGGCAGCAAATTAGTGCCATTAATTGCAGTCAACACAGCCTGGGCATCACAGCGGCTATAATTCTACAGTGGGCATCACAGCGGCTATAATTCTACAGTGGGCATCACAGCGGCTGTAATTCTACAGTGGGCATCACAGCGGCTGTAATTCTACAGTGGGCATCACAGCGGCTATAATTCTACAGTGGGCATCACAGCGGCTATAATTCTACAGTGGGCATCACAGCGGCTATAATTCTACAGTTCCAACACAGTATTTATCGGAGGATAAATGTCAGCCAACATTTGGCTACCGAAAAGCCTCATTTACGATGAATTTTCGATCGGGTTTACAGACAAGTAGATCACAGTATTCATGATATTCATAATGAATTTGGTGGTTACCGACATATGTAGGCGTGACCTGGGATTGCTGTGAACTTCAACAGTAATATCGATGTGTCAACCAGGTTAAATTTGAGGGCATTCCCTTATTCATTATTAAAATTGTACTGCGAGATCTTGCAGTGTTTTTGTTGGAATAAAACGTATAATTTTTAAAATGAAAACCTGGGTCAATAATTTTGCGATTAATTCTTTCATAGGTAGTCTACATTAGCTGAATCCATGTTACCTATTCAGCTTTGGGACATAAGAAGCAGAAGAAATAATCAACATCGTACATTTCGACGTTGTTTCAACGTTGAAACCGCGTTGAATTCCAACGTTAAAATCGCATTTATAAAAGGTTTCATCAGGTTTACATGTTCTATCATGAATTGCACAGTATATGAGCGCCGTATTACAATGAGCTGCGGTTATTATATATAAATATACTATTTGCTACTCTATCTACAATCATTGTATCCTGCGCACGCGACCTGCAAGTGTGACGGTATGTGATGGTGCTTTTAAATACTCGTATTGCACATCTTTAATTGTTCCTCCTGAGAATAGCAGAAGAAATAAATGATATCTATATAATTCAGGCACAGAAGTGACTGTTCAATTAGTTACTATGTAGAAAGTTAGGTAAAATAGCTATTAATCTCAATTACGATGCAAGGTTCACCGTGGCCTGCTGGGCAAAGACGAAGAGCGCGAGCCAGTGCAGAAGTAAAGGTAAGTGAATATATAGAATAAAAAAGTATTTATATATATAATAAATGCAGCTCACTGTAATAAAATGCTCGTAGCCATAACGGAGGCTGTTACTGTGACATTCATGATAGAACATGTTGATGTAATAAAACCTTCTATAAATGCGCTTTTAAAGTCGAATTCTACGCGATTTCAACGTTGAAACAACGTAGAAATATACGAAGTTGATAAAATGACGTTGGTTCACTTTTAATTCCGGACTAATATTCAACATGATTTTAACGTCGCGAAATACATTGTTTTAACGTTGATTTCAACCTGACATTGCCTGCAGGATCGTTTTAAAGCGAGCGTTCGCCAACAGAAGTAGCGATGGATAGCTTAGACTAGAGCTCTTACAGCAAATCCGTTACTTATAATGTTGCAGGTGTTACGAGCGTAAAAATGAAGTCGCAAAGGCTAAAATACTCCCTACAAATTCCTGAAATTTTCCAAAGTTCAGATAATTATTTTCAAACTCCGAGCATAATAGGATAATTTACATCCCTAATACCTTCTTTTGAGAACGTAAAAATGAATGAACATCGGAGTAAACTTTTCTAGTAAGCTGTCCTTTTTGCATCAATAATGAGGAAAGAAAACTTTGAAGGTGAATAATTGATGAGAAACTAATGAACACAAGAGCTGATATCGAAGGGAAAGCCATAACGGAGGCTGTTTGAATACACACCCACATTCATCAGCTATTCCTGCCATAACTAATAAAGATTTTGTGATTTATACTATTTGCTGTGCAGCTGAGCCTGGAAGAGTCCACGAAAAGCGAAAAAATTCACATTTCTTTCCAGCCAAATCTGACCATTCAGTGAAAACCGATGTGGACCTCCAGTTTTTATTATGAAAATAGATAGAGAAACTGAATGGTTACTGGCGATCAATAGATGCAGCGCAGCGGCCCGGCAGAGCAGGGCAGTTGTGAGGCTCTTTTTTTATTTCTCCCGGTCGCTGATGTGATCAGTCACTCGCGCAACAGCAAACAAGCAATCAGTTTGAAGTTGACGGTCGATGCCTCCCGGTGGGACCGTTGCTGGACTTATTGCATCGCACGAGAATTTCAAGTCTTACTACGGGGAAAGTCTTCGCCCCCGATCAAGTCACTTTATTCACTGTAAAACCAAAGTAACCATTCTGTATAGGTACTTGTAAAAATAAAATATGTATCTATGTTAGTAGTTTAAAATGAGTCAATTGATAGTTTGAAAAATAATTTTTTTATTTTTACAGCTCACGGTGCTGGAATTAAATTGTGAAACCGAAGATATCAAGAGGCAATTTTTCTCGTAAGGAAAATCTTATATCAGTCCAAGAGAGATTTTCTTCAGTTGGCTGTAGACCAAAGACTGTAAAACCAAAGCTAAGACTGGATAGAAAAAGTTAAAACAGAAAGCAATCACGTCGATAGAACCTAAAACAACCTCGCTTGAAAATGATTAAGCCCACATGAAAATGTGCCTAATCAAAAGTTCCAGCGTGTCACAATAAAAATAAATTAAAATTGATTTTGAGTCGGTTTCTTTTCAGCAACCTTTAGCGAGGAAATCCAAGGAATCGTCTGAAAAATTCGAAACTATTCAGAAAAAATCTGCAAAGAAAACTCGCACATCGCAAAGAAAATTTGCGAAATTTCATGCTGAACCCAGTCTCGATCAGGCATCTCGTCAGTAAACATACAAATTTGATCAAGTTCGGATGGTCGATAACAGAAAAGTAACCATAGCAACCATTGAACGATAACGGCACGAACGGTGCGGTTACTCACATGAATAATACTGATTTGTCACATTTTATCAGGCATGCAATGAGAAATTCAAGGACCAGAATAAACTTCAATGGCCGATTGTACTTCAATGCAAGCGAGAAAAATCTGTGAATGCAGCAAGTCCTGTCGTTTTGTCAACTTAAATGGAAACATGACCTAAACTGATCTGAATTGTGACTAAACTTGGTGCAACTGGTCTGCATCACAACCATAATCATAGAAACTCATCGACATCACAACAAAACGAACCTATGGCAATTGATTTGCATCGTAACTTATATAATAGAAAATGATCTGCTCGCAGATGATTATGCGAAAACAAACTAAAGCGAATTATATCGTCATTCATTGGTAGCAATCTCCATGTTAGTGATGAATACGATGAGAAAATTTGTTGGCTTTAATCACAATTTTTTGTTTAATATTTAGAATATCGATAGGAATTAGGAAAACCTTTGTGTTAAAATACGGAGTTAACCTGGTTATAATGATAATGATTTTAAAAATAAGTAAAGTCCCATGGAAATAAGCTTAAAATGAAAACTATGAATATATACTTGCTTGCCACAAGTAAACCTTTCACAGTTCAAAATTCAAATTACCCCACAACGAACTATAAATTGGGGGGCGTGCATACGCCTTGCGATCACTATGCGGAAATTTCTCCTCTGCTGTGCACTGGGGGAAATCTGAGGACATTTTTTATTGTCGTATACAGAGGGAAATTTGGGGAAGCGATATCCAAATTTTCTTAATTACGCGTAGCGGCCTGAGTACACAATGTGTCTCAAGTTCACGCAGCTGCCATTTTCTCGTCTGTGGTTAGTTGATTTATAAGCATGTCAGTGATAACTGATTGGCAAACGGAGTTACAAACTAGCAACTATTTTTAGAGCATTTTTTTCATTTATGGAAAAAAGGCGCTATTACTCACTGCAGTACTGTGTCACTCAGTACTCACAGCAGTGAGTGACAGAGAGCGCATTTTCTCGGCGACGAAAACGTGGTCACGAACAGACGGACAGACAGAAGGACGGACAGACAGAAGGACGGACAGACAGACGGACGGACCTATACTTTCAAAAAAAGTTAAGATATCGTAAGTTCATCCGCCAATCATTGACGGCCTTTCAAGTCAATCCAGCAATCATAGACAAGAAAATAGAACGTAAGTACTTACGTTCACTTAGTGAGTTTTGAAAGTATAGGCCCCTGGTCTTAAGAAAATGAAGCAGACGTACCCAGCCTTCCTGACGGCGCCGGTGCAGTTGAAGGAGGCCGCCGTGGTGCCGCCCCCGCCACGCGCTCCCTTGTAGGGCGAAGCGTCGGCGCTCTCGCCCTCCTCGTCCTCGCTCACCGCCGTCGTCAGCGACATGCGATCATCGTCCGAGATCTGTGACGACGAAAATACGAAGAAAATTAACATCATGGCGTGAACACCTCCAGATGAAAAAATTAACTCCATCGCGTGAAGAATAAATGGCGCCATGAACTTTACGGCGTGAACACCACAAGACGTCATGAACTTCATGGCTTGAACACCATACGACGCAATGAACTTGCGGTGAGAACATTACATGGCGCAATTATGAATGAACAGAGAAAGAATCCTGATCTCGATGAAATGAACCGAAGAGTTGAGTTAAGATATCTATCGAAAAATTAGTATTAAAAGGCATATTCGAGATTTAATATGGTTATAACATCAGCCGAGCAAACTGGGAGTCACCATCGTCAAAATTCGTTTGTTTGGCAGAGCTCCAGCGAGCTCTGGAACGTCCAATAGTTTACTCCCTTTATAATACTATATTATGATCCCTTATTGGCAAAGTTAATGATGCGACGTTCACGTCGTGGCGCCAACGTTCATACTACGACATCAGCAAAAATAAAAACACGAACCCATTTTCGGAATGACCTAAGTTGGCAAATTTTACCAAAACACAGAGAAAAATAGTGTACTACCACTATTCCTCCCGACTAAGCTGGAGGCAAAATAACTAACAAAGATTTTAACATCTACTGGCGCCGCTAATATGATTTCGTTATAAACTCATTCATTTCAAAATATTCAGAAGTAAACTACAAATTAGAATACACACGCGGCACCTAAAATTATAATCATATCAACATCTGTTCATGAGTCGAGTTAACTGACTGACTGTTGCATCACAAACAGAACCAAAGTACACCACGCAATTCCAATTGTGAGTTCCATGAGCTCAATCACACAGCAAATGTGGCAAGGATACGATAAATCGCCTCCATGCGCACACGTTATACTCAGCATTGTGGCACAACTGATAAAGGAGGTGAGGTGCTCAGTGTGAGAGGTGAGCGCAAAACTGGCAGGAATACGATTAATCACCTACAACACTCCCACGTATTGAAGATTGCGGCACAACTGATGCAGGAGGTGAGGTGCTCAGTATGAGAGGTGAGTGCAAAACTGGCAGGAATACGATTAATCACCTACAACACTCCCACGTATTGAAGATTGCGGCACAACTGTTATAGGAGGTGAGGTGCTCAGGGTGAGGAGCGAATGAACAGGACGGGAGGGGGACGGAGAAGCTCCGTTTTTAAAGGCGCTCGGTCGGCAGCTGGAGAAGCACGACTCGATGCCAGCGTTGAATCCTACTTTTTTCGTTTGGTAACAATGAAGTAAATACTTTTTTGTTTTCATAAATTGTTAAGAAATGGCATGAATATTGTGTATGAAATTATTTTTGATATGTTAATTGATAGGTAGGTACCATGAAAACGTTTTTAAGATTGATTTTAGTGTAGCGTTTTGCCGAAAAAAATACAGTTATTGTATTGACTATGTAAGAATAATTCACGTAAGTTTTGTGTTAACATTCGATCAAACGCTTAGTAGGAGATTTTTATAGTAAGTTAATATTACCAATTAACATCGATAGTATCGATGTTAATTGGTAATCTCTGCAACTCTACAATATGTATGCAAGATCCGATTAGAGTAAATCTGTTTTTTTGAACCCTAAAATCACGACCTGCAATAAAACTGTAAATCGCTGCTAATTATTTTGGTTTATATGTTGATAATCTCTAAGCAAATGTTGGTAATCTTGGTTGAAGCGCACCGGGATGTTTCGAGTCATGGTGGACTTGCTGTGATGTCACACTAGTAATTCACCGCGAATTAAGATATAGAATGATGCTAGAGCGCATAAATCGGAAAATATTTATTTAAACTCTAGCAGCGAATGTAAACCAATGTTGACTCACTGCACAAGCGTATTCGACATATCGGGATATTGAGTCTGTGAGGTCGAAAAAAAACGTCTCATCAGAACATCAAATCTTCGTAGCATCCGGAAACAAAATTTGATGAAAATTGTTTGCTCCTCAGGAACACACTTGAGGATGGTCCGATGTTTCCACTCCACGCAACATAACTGTACGTTAATATTGCAACACATTTACGCGTTCAAGTCGTTTACATGGAGTTGAAGCTTGGGCCAACAAAGCCGCGAAGTTTCCACTCCACGCAACATAACCACGTTAATATTGCAACACATTTACGGGTTCAAGTCGTTTACATGGAGTTGAAGCTTGGGCCAACGGAGCCGCGAAGTCCAACTGGGCGCAATTATCGAAAATCGATGGAGACATCAAAATCAGAAGAGCAGAGAACAAAGGAGATCGTGGATGCCCAGCCTCATCCAGTATTCAATTCTAGCTTTTACTAATTTCTAGTCACACTTGCAAAATACAACTGTGGTTGGTAGCAACGGGAAAACTATGAAATTAAAAGCAGCATTTAATTTTTGTCTCTAAGACACCATTTCCGTGTCACATATGCAAAATACAAAAGTGAAATAAGTACCATAATGAAAATAATAGTTTAAATGATTCATCTTACATTGTAAAGGGTTGAACGTTCTTTTCGGAAGGGATAAGATCTCAATTTGCTGTTATGCTAGAATAGTTAATTATACGCTTTCAAAATTAGTTCATAATGTTCTTACAATGTTAGGTAAGCCAAAGAGCACGGAAAATACGACAAGCAGCATTAGCGTATTGCGTAGATCAGACACTTCAAACCTGTGCGAATTAAAGTTAAGTCTATTCGTTGAAGTTTATTGACCCATTAAGCTCCGTGCACACGCATTAGGATTCACCATCAACGAGTAATGCAAGGATTTATGGCGCGTCACTCACCAATGAACTTCTCAAGGAACGAAATTCGCAATCCTGAAATAGAGAGCCACGAGAGAGCCATAAATCTTGCAGCATCCAGCATTAAGACTTCGGATATGGTTTGGCATGCCTCTCAGCATGGACATCGCTCACACGCTCTACAGCAACACTTTCATAAATAAGTGCACTGTCGTCAGTAAATTAACGTTTTTGGCCCTTTAATATCCAGCTCCGCAACACGCCTCTCTTTCTATACCCACGGAAGAGATCGAGTGCCAGACGACGGCAAAGTAATAATGTTCTGAAGCCGTAAAATGCCGTCCTAGCCCGACCCTATTTAGGAAACCTGTCACCGTTCACTTTCCGCTTCGTAAATTTCTTAGAAATCCAAGGTGACGGAGAATTCAAGCCGGGTTGGCGGCGCACAGGAATCACATTCGACTTTAAGTCGCTCTTTATCTTTTTCGAGGTCATTCAATCAACAGGAATTCAATATAAGCCTTGAGAAAACCAATAGACGGAGCTGTTATAAAATTTAAACATTACATGCATGCTTTAATTCCCCCTACAATTGGCAGCTTATAATTTTTTCACTAATACTTCAAGTGTGATAAAAATTGGGCCATCATCAATAAATGACACATAAAAACTGTGAGACGGATAAATTATAACTCTAAGATTAACCTGATTTTTTGTGTGACAATAAATTTTATTTCTAAGGCAGTCAAAAGTGTCAGCTTCAAAACAGGTTACTGTCATAATAATAGTATCCATGAATCTGAAATCTGCCGGAAAATTCTAAATTATTATGGAAAAGGTCCATCCATAGCTAAATGTTTAATGTGGTGCATAAACTGCGAATGAGTGATAAAGGGTTTCTCTTGTCAAACCCTTCCTTTCCTTTTTACCAACAGAGCCGGAACAATTTTTGTAACTAAATGTACACATTAGACATATTAAACATTTTTAGATTATAAATTGTTTAATGGGACATTTGATATATCTTTTACCTGAACTTCTGTCTCCAAAACCATGGAGCCATGCGAGGTGAGAGCTTTGTGCTGTTGATCGTTGTAAGGAGGTATTTCACCGCATGACGAAGCGTTGGCCGAAGCAGGGCAAGAAGTAGGGCAAGACGCTGGACAAGACGCTGGACAAGATGCAGGACACGATGGTGGACACGATGATGACAATTGATATCCAGGAGCTACGAGGTGGATAGTATTATGAGGATTGTAGGTCGGACGAGCGCCGGCGTCAATGCACTGTGGCGAGAGACACGATGATGTGGTGGAGCATTGTGCGTCTGAACACGGAGTATTGGAGAAAGGTGTGTTTGAGCCCAATGTCATGTTGGATAAGGGACTGTTGATGCAGTGCTCATCACACCGTCCAGCAGTGGGGTGGCACAATGCACACACTGAGGGTGATCCAGGTGGTGATGGAGTGTTAGACGGAGGAGATAATGACAGAAGTTGCGGAGACATGCATGGAGATCCATCCACTGGCTCCAGATGTGTCTCCAAGTTTGTAGACGACATTGAAAGTCTATAGGGCGTGAAATGCGTGTTTGCACCATAGTATCGACGCTGTGAATTTGAAGCGTAAAAGGATTCGTTGGAGGCATTGGAGGAGTTTTGATGAGAGTAGACATACGTGTCACTAAGAGCTCCTGGATCCTCTTGAAAGCTGTTCCAGCGGTCACTCGTGTCAGATTTGCGCCGAAATTCTAATGCACTGAGAGAGGCGCTATCTCTTCTGCAGTGTACGGTTGGCGAAGGAGAAGAGGGACAATTTAGAAGACATGCTTTGCATTCAACGGGCTCGCATGTACATCGTGGTGGTTGCGTTACAGCAGCGGAACAACAGGATGGTGGGCAGCTAGACGTGTAACCGACAGACGATAATCTTGGAGGTAATGGAGGCTTAACGATCGTACAAGCAGAATTGCGCATAGAAACAGGCGCAGGTAATGTCTGCGTTCTACCACGGTGACGAACCTGGTTCTTTCTATAGCTCACGGGGTTGCTGATGGTTTGCGTCACCGTTGTGTGGTTGTTCAGGAAAAGATCCTGCCCATTATAGCTGCTGCTTCTTTGGCGCTTAGGAGCAGCAGAGGAACAGCTGTCAACCCATAAATTAACAGCATTTTTGGTCTCTGGAATCGAATGAGGATGCCATCTTGAGGAGAAGCGAGAACTGGGAATCGTCTGGAGTCGCTGCCGATCAACCGCATTCCGCTCCTCATCACAACAGGGTCAAGATGTCTGACAAGACGGACACGGTTCTACTTCACTCATCCTCTTGATAGTGGCAGGTAGACTTTGTGGACTTCCTCCATATCGCGTTGAGAAGTAGGGCGCCACAACTCCCCTGCTCCTCCTCCCAGCTGAAGCTGGCAGCCCGATGGTGCCGGTGAAAGACAAAGTGTTAGGTGTGATGGTGGCTGCCGAGTGAAGAAGTGCGCCGGAATGGCAGTTTGGGATTTGGGGCTCTCCTTAGGACACTGAGATGCGACGTTGGCTGTGAGGCAATTTTTGAAACTATGGTGACCAGAGAGTCACTCGTGGCAAGACGATGTGGCTTGAGGTCTGACCGACGTTGTGGAAGTGGCCGTAGGATGCGAATCGTGCGATCGATTGTAGAGGCAGATTGACGAGTACGGGCATGAAACTGCCGAAACTGTCGTACTTTTCGCACACTGAAGATTACCGACGATGAAGTAACAAGTTAAAATTCGCTGATATACACAAAGAATCGACTGACTAAACTCTTGATTATTGATTATGTTTGTAATTAACTGTAATTTTAAATCGGGACAGCAGTCATGACGAAAGAGGAATCTCATTCATGTCATCAATCAACAGCCGCAGCATTTAAGGTCACGAAGTTAAAAAAAAACATTCTGAAGTTGAATTTTAAATGCAATAGTGAAGGTTCATACGAAGCTCACATTCACGGTAAATTTTTGTCAGTGAAATCGAAGCTCGAATAAAGAGGAAGCTCTTTCGACAGCGTTAGGAACTATTTCAAATTTCCAACGTCAGCAATTATACACTCGTTTCTTCCGAAAGACTGTCAATAAAATGTATTGCAGTTAGAGTAACTGTTGAGCAAAGTGAGGCATGTCCGCAAGTGTTCTTAAGTTTAACTTATCTTATCGATGCTATAAAAGTCTTTGTAACGAACTGCCAGAACGATTAAATGCTAAGAGGCGGTCGCATGCAGGGATTATCACGATGACAAGGGCATAATACCCACAACAATACAATACAGCAACAAATAATAGCGATATGTTGTGTGCACGTGTGGATCAGAATTTATTTATTTCAACGAGTAAGGAACATTGAAAGGAGTATATGAGATAAATTGAATTACAAGATCAAAGAGTCAGTCAAGAAAAAATAAATCAACGGTTACTTTGCCCATGATAACGAGTGTGTTGCGGTGGCGAAAAAATACGATTCATTGAAGAAGCAGGGGAGTGTGGAGAGTTCTTACGACTATTGTAGTAACTGAGGGTGCTTGGCTTTACCTTTGTGCTCGCTTAAAAGTGCATAACGAGTCCTTTGTCAGGCTTGGGTGGAAGATAAACAAAAACAAGAATTACTCGGTCTGTTCAGGGCTGTTTTAGGGGAAAGCAAACAAAACAAAAATCTCGCTTAAGAGTTAAAGCAAACTAAATACAGCATCAAAAATCTCTTGAGAGGAGAAAAGTTAATATCTCTAACATATTAAGATACTTTGAAGAATGGGTAAGAAAAAATTTGAAACATTTTCACATCAATTGCATTCTAAGAAGAAGAAAGGTGCACCTATGGCAGTTACATTATATATTTAAGCACGCACTTCCAGCCTTACAGAGACTATGTGCTCGAGAGCAGAGCGTTTCTGAACGCGATACTTTGCTAAGACTTCACTCAAAGTAGCAATTAGGAAGTAATCTTCTAGAGAGTTTGTTGGCAATACAAACTAATGAAAATAATTGCACTTATTTAGAACATCGCAGCTTTAATACCATAATTCAGATTAGTGCTATTTTGACACTTGAGTATACAGTATATAAAAATTAACAACAAGAATATCAGTTAGGATAGGTTCGGGTCTATCTACATAGCAGCCTTGGTCTGTGAGCGATATTAGGACACTAATGAATTCAAATGTTCTTCCTAAGCTTAAGATGTGCATATCAATGCATGTGAAATCAACAGAAGCGTTGAAAAACGGTAACGACGACGGTAAGAAAGATAATTAATGCTTTGAAATTTAAAATACATAGAAAATTCAAATAAGAGACAGTTATATTATTGAATTGATTTATTTTGAACAACTTTCTATATCATGTCCAACTTGAATGAACATTCTTGATGTAAAGAAAAAGGCATTAACAAAATGTATTGCCTGTTGCAAATTACGAAAAAATATACATTTCACGGTAGAAATGAGAGTAAAACAGGACTCTGATCCTGCTCGAATCTGCACGAACATTTTTTTTATGCGACAGGATTGATTTCGAAAGCAGATAAGATGCAGACGTTTATAGGAGTGTTAAGGGCGGCCACACGCGCTCCTGCTCGGCGCGGACGACACCACCAGGCACCAGCACGACATCTTTATAGCTCCTCGATTTGCTGCCGAATGTAAAATGTCCACTAATGTCCCAACCTCACTAGGAATAAGGACGCTATGTAATCGTTGCAAGCGTTGATTCTTACCACGCAACTATTAGCGTAATGTGATGTTACGTCAAAATTAAGCGATGTTGTGTCATTGTAAACCTAACAGCTTCAAGAAGAAGAGTAAAGCTAAATAAAAAATCAAACAAGTAGGAAGACCAGAACATGATTAAATACTTTCAAGAAATAACAATCTTTTTCATCCCTTTACGAAAATAACACAAGCTACATTTCGTTCTGCATCGTCCACAAAACACAAAGAGAGAATCCAACAGAATCCGAAGCTTGCGGAAGAAATTCCCTGTTCTAGGTTTGCAAGAATAATGTGAACAATTTCAGCAAACGGAGCAGAGTTTTTGGTCAATGTTTGCCACGGCCGACGAAAGGTTTGGGCAGAGGCTCGTTAAATCGGCCAAGCAACAACCGCGGCGGGCGGCTGTCGGTTCCAATTTGCATTGTTAATTCGCTCGATCGAAGAACGTGCACAAGAAAAGGCCCATTACAACATTTAGAATAATTGTCTAAGTAAATAAAAATCTTTAAGAAAATTATTAGCTGATGAATTTAGACAGGAAATAATAATATACCGTCAATAATATAATTAGCGGCCACATCAGCTTCTGAAAAAAATTCTATTTCAAAATTATGGAACTGCTCACTGTGAAAATAAATTATTCTTTTATGGAGTTCACTGCCAAATTTGATTGAATCAACAGATCGAAACCACACAGGAATAAAGGAAATGAATTGATTCTGTAGGCAAAACAGAAATTGCAATATAAATTTGGATATCTGCAGACCCGTTTAACGTGAAATGGAACATTCAATTCTTTAAACGATTAAATCCACTCAGATTGAATCTTGGAAAGAAAGAGAATATCACATCTGTACATCAGTTTTTACATAAACTGAAACAAATAATAATTTTGTCCAAGAAGACAAGAACTGTATGTAAAATAACTCTTGGCGGAAATCTTCTAGTATAAACATTGAAAACATTTCTGTGACCAGATAAAAAAGAGTTATTTCCATTTACAGCACACTATAAGATGAGCTTGGAGAGTCCATGACAGTCTTCTAACGGCCGCAACTCTGCGGCAACTCGTGAGATCTGCCATATATAGTAAATGGAATGCCGACAGAACCTAAGTTCAGCGTTACAAGTTGTCGCATTTAAACCAGTCTCTGGGGCAATGCGCTGCCGTCTCTAGAATACTTGGATCTTCAGAGACTGCCACAACTTGGAGATAAGGTCTTGACTTCAGAGAGTTGCATGAACAGTGGCGCTATTAAACGGCCTTCAAACGATCAAATGCATCGTTCAGAGTATAAAATGGCGTAAATGTAGGAATTTTTTCGCTTTGTAATTTTGATCACCTCTGAAGACGATATATATTAAGCCTGAAACTACCAAACGGGCATAAATATTGCAAAAAAAAAATCATAAACATGGCATAATAAAACAAACTTGGTTAAGTAACCCAAGCACATGTAGTCGGTATCTACTTAAAGGCTTCAGTATGAGTACTGTAACATTATATATCCCTGTAAGACCCGAACTGCCTACTCACTCATGCATCTCGTAATCTCAGAAAGCATCCCAGAAATGCGCTTCGCTTTAGAGGGCAACTAAAATTCGTTTGCTTTCTCGTCGGTAAACCGCGGGCCACACACTAACTAATTAGCGAGCAGCTCAAACTCAGCAGTGCAAGATCAATAACAAGGGCTGCTTTTTAGGAGCGCGCTTCGAAAGCTCTACACAATTTCGCCCTTCTTGATTACACTTCACATTCATTAAAGGAAATTCTCGTATCATTCGGAGCAACCTGATACATGGAATAGCGTAATGCTAAAACTAAACATACAGTGTCTATATAAATGGAGTTTGACGCAGGTGTTCTGCGGCAACGATTTTGATGATTTTTCTGTAACGAAATTGATTAAAACCAATTACTGACTTACTGTATCGTGAACACTTACTTTAAAAATGGCATTTCATAGTCAAACACGAATCTTGTATCATATATTCTATCCTTCAGCAAAAACGCGTCTCTTCCTTAAAGTAAGTGATAGAATCGATGACATTGAGGTACGAAAGGACTCGGACGATCGCATCGAAAAATAGAATTGGACTCATCTACATAAAAATTTAAATGTATGCACATATCCAGCATAGCTGGCAGCAGCCGGGGCCGAAGCAGAGGAGGCGCCGCCATGACGCCGGCACGGCCGCTGCATGCAAGAATCGTGCATCTTTAAAGACAGCGGCGGCAGCGTCTACGAGGATCGCGCATTAGCGCTCGGCACGCGTCACCGCAACCATTAATATCGTCATGGGCTCCATAACAACTCATCGCAGCCACAACCGACGACGATAATATCGTCATGGGCTCCATAACAACTCATCGCAGCCACAACCGACGACGAGCTATCGTTCATCGCAGTGTCGTAATGCGGGGTGCAGGCAATAGGTCCTTCGGAGTATGTTGATGAGCTTTGAGTGGATGTTGGTCGCCAGTTTGTGACATTAAAGAGTGCGAAAAGTAAACAGAAAAGGTATAAATAAATAACTTGAGTATTGAATACAGGGTTGAGGATGCTCTCGTGATCAATAACGACAAAAATTCTGTAAATAGAATTCATGCACTTCAAATAGAATAATGTACATAATTCAATAAACAAAAATGAAGACTATTTGTTAACGATTTTGAATCGACAATTCAACAACCACGATATAACTTTGCGAAATCGCAAACAGGAAATCAATAAAGATTGTCCTACAGAGGGAAAACAAAATTTCATTATTCATTCCGGTCCGAAGTGAGATATCTATCCATTGAACCCGCGGATTTCCTTCCTAAGAAAAGAGCTAATAGAAAAAAAAACATTTACTTTAGTCTACGGAATTTATCCCCCTTTCTGTCATGGCTTCATGTGGAAAAAAGTTTTGCAGCCTCACGCAACATCGAAGTCTCGAAAAAAATTTCCAGATAGGAGGAAATTTTTGCAAGTGATCGAGACATTTTCTAAGACAGCGGTTCCGAAAATTCTTTACCATGTTTTGGCAGATAAGTTAAGGTGCTTGGAGGCCCACACATCTCAGCAGACTTCCTCCTTACGAGCAGAAAAACAGCTTGATATATGACATGACTCTGTATTAAAATATTTTTGAAACAAATAAAACGTAGCAGTTGAATGCTAAAAGGAATATTAGATCTGCGAAATTAAAGTGATGGGCTGCTGAAGACCAAAAGATAAAAGTTTTGCGTTGGTATAAATAATTGACTTTGAACAACAAAATTAGAAACAAAACTTCTGCAATCAAAGTACGAGAGAAAAAGAGTAATTACAAGTGATACAATCATATGAGTACTCAATTTAGAAAATTAACTTCAACTCTAGCATTGAACTGCGAATCCGAACCAACAATTATAGCAGATACCCAGTCAGAAATCGCCGCAGTCTGGAAGCCAGCCGCGGGTGAACTTGCCTGCGCCAACGCTCGCCCCAGCGCAACGCCAGGGTGGTCAACAGCGCAGGAATGTCCACAGCAGCGCAATATTATGGCAGCGCTTGTCGGCCTGGAAAGGGCCTGCTGCCGCAGTCAGTCTGTCCTACCGCGAGCGACCAGGCCGGCAGGTACTGCCAGCTTCCGCGCTATCGCGAAGGAGGTTGCCGCGATTGGCGGGACCGTTGCGCAAAATTCCCGCAGGCCAGAGGTGGCCGAACGTGAATTTCGACCCAAAAAAAAAAAAATCCCTACGCCCTCCACTATATATATAGCTCCCATACTTTGTGGAGCTATATATAATAATTGTGGAGGGCATGGGGAATTATGTAACAACGAACACATACAAAATTATAAAGCGAATTTTAATGCTG